ACTCTTAGAGACTTTAGTTCACCAACAGCCGAATATCAGTAACCCACAAAGCAAAGTGGCGAGTTATAAAATGACTTCAGATGGCTGTTGGTACTGTGATGAACCAGGCCATTTTACTTCGAATTGTCCACATAGAGAAGCACACGTAGCCCAGAAGAAAATCAAGCTTCTTGGGAACCGAATGTATTTTACGCATAATAATACTGCAGTACCTAGAGGGAATGGCGAAAAATCCGTTCGACAAATTGTCGAGGAGGCTAGTAGGCAAAATTCGACTCTACAAAATAATATGTTTGCAGAGCCTGGAGAAGTCTTTAGTCAAGAAGCTGTTGTCCCAGGTATAATCAGGCTACCGGATAATAATAATGGAAATGAAATTTCCGTTTTTACAAACCAGATGCGAGATACAAGAGACGATGTGATTCTCAACATGAACAACCAAGTATTAAAACTTACCGACATGCTTGCGAACCTTGTTACAAACCCCAATAAAACGAGGGACGTAGACGCGTCGCAGTTTGCCGTCACCCGTAGATCTCAAACCGAGACTCAGGGACAGTCGGGAAACTAAAGAGTCCGATGAAGGGGCCTTCCAGTAAGACTAAACCCAATGCTGGAGAACCAAAGGCACCGGAGGACGCACCAAAGAAAAGGGGTAGGAAAGTTGTGATTATCGAAGAATCAGAGGAAGAAGAAACTCCTCCCGAGAAACCAGAAAATCTCAATGGACCAAAGAAAACTTTGAAAAATAATCAAAAATTACTTGAAAGAAATGATGATGTCGAGGATCCTAATCCAAGGCACAAACAATTACCGTATCTCGGTATCCCAGACTTAAATAGTAATGCGAAAGAATCGGTTGAAGAGTATGACCCAGTGCCTTTCTATGAGAAGCGCCCGATAGCATACAAGCATTTAGCTCCAATAGAAAATGTTAAAAATGAGGAACAAGCGTTGAACAGTCTGTTAAAAGCACCTGTTACTCTAAGCGCGGAAGTACTTATGAGCATTTCTCCTGGAGTAAGGCAAGAATTGTTTAAGGCCTTAGCTAAAAAGAAGGTACCAATTCAGACTGCTCACAATCGAAAAGTAACTATAGTCGAGGAGGTTGATAAAGACGCACCTCCAATTAAAAAGCAAGAAGATAATTTTAATTTCGGAAAAATCAATATAAATGACTTGGACATCAAAGCCACTTTTATGTGCACAACAGAGGATGATGGAGTAATACCAAAGGGTTCTATAGTCCTGACAGACCCTGTTGAGCAATATTTGCAAGGCCTAGGCTCATCGGAAACTCCGAAGGAGATTTACGTATCTAAAGAGTCCCATGCTTTAAAATCGATATATCCAGTAATTAATAAGTTTGGTCAAGTAGAGAGCTTGTTGGAT